CTGCTTCTTTGGGGGCACATTTGTGATTATGTAATGGCAAAACAAAGCATTTGATAGTAAATTAAATCAGTTTTATACTATGTGGGTGACTTGCCTGCAGTATATACCGCCAGGCTTTGATGCATTCCAGTGTGGGAAATGTACTCTTGAAGCCTAACAGCTGGCTCCTCTCCATCTTCCCATGGTCCCCATCTGACTCATCCCTCCTCTGTAAATACTCTCTGACTCGTTAGCAAGTTGAACACATTTCACAGCTCTGTGAATGAAGTGCACATAGGTCAGAAGTTACCTGTGGGAGGCCTCAGAGGACACATAAACTTGCCTGACCTTGAGAATCATTTCATCCATTTGACAGTCATGAAGAGCTACATCTCACACAAGCAAGGGGATGCAAATGAAGATCAGAGAAGGGCGAGTGGGGAAGGAAATTGGTGAAAAAGTAAAAGTTTATGTCCAAAAATAGAACAAAAAAAACTACCACTGGGACATGATAAAGAAAAATAAATGTTCACTAAGGTAACAAGCCAGAAGAATGTGTTGACAAGAACCAAAAGCAGAGCTGTGATTCTTAACTGAAGCTTGATGGGCATCCTTGGTCTCCATTTGCTGGTTTCCGTAACAGCATCTCAGACACCATCTGTGACTTGCCATGAGGGTGACACATCATCGTAGGTTTTCATGAGCATGCCACCTGCTTCCCAACCCCACAGGACAGTGAGACGGTGTGGGGAAACAAGCACCTGATTTCACAGGCAAAACAATCAGGAAAACTAAAAAGTGCAGCTTGTGCAGGACCGGGGTGCAAATGCATTCTGTGTCCACTTGCCCATAGCTGAATGAGCACTGCAGGCCAGGTTTCACTCTTGATAATACTAGCTTGCATTTAGTGAGTATTCACTATGGTCTGGGCACTGTTCAAACTGCTCTACTGGTGCAGATCAATTGAATTTTCACAGTAGTGAGGTGGGTTAATTTTTTTCCCCACACACACACCAATTGCACCTCAGTGTTTTGATTGGTCCAAACTATTAGACTGATCTCAGAATAAAAAAGTCATTCTTTTGTGCCTTAGTTTCCCTTAATTCCAGTAAGCAATATGTCACAGACAATACCAATTAGTAAATTCAAGATTCCATTATATATCAGGCAGTGTGCTGTACTTTCAGGGGTCCCAAACTTGTCTCCAAGAGCTTTCAATTTACCTATAAGAAAGCACCTAACCCTGTTGTATAGAATAATGTGATATAAATGGCAGAGCAATGAGATGAGAATGAAGATTTCTGATGGGGAAGGTGTAGAAGAGAGGGGGAAGCCCAAACAGAGGAACTAATATCAGGAGAATAGTTACTGGTTGACAATATGGATTAAATTATAAGAAGCGGGCAGAGAATAGACCCCAAACTTCTAGTGATGCCCAACTGATTTATGACGAGTTGGACTATATTCCCTTTAGAAAACAAGGCCATTTCTAATCACCTTTTATATATTCTTTATAGATACTGTAAAAAGATTCACAAAGCAACTGCTTTGTCCAGTCATGGAGGGTGGAATTACATGACTCACCTGTCCCTAAAGGTGAAGTGATAAATCTTGTCTATTCTTCCTTGGTAAGTTCATGGCTGAATTCATCAAAACTTTTACTATTACGAGGAACAAATATTCAGCCCAAATTAGGTCAGGTAAAATGGTAATTCACTGGCTCATAAAATCAGGAAATTAGGAGCCTAGGAATAGCCAGATGCAGGAACCCAGATGATGTTGTCAAGGCATTAAGTCATTGCCCCATTGGGCACACACGCTCCAAGTAATTGCCTCTCTCTTGCCTCTGCCTGATGGCATTTCCCACCAGGCTTTGTTCAAGTGGCAGGCAACTCATTTCCTCCCAGCTGAGCAACTTCACTGGAAATAGGACCTCTCTCTCAATATCTTAACATCAGTCATTGGAAAGATCCAACTGGTCATGCTTGAGTTGATGCCCATCCCCTAGGCCAGAGGATGGAATATTCTAATTGGCCAACCTGGGTCATCAGCTCACTCTGTTAGTGAGGTGTGGATGAGATTGCATATGACCACATGGCATTGGGGAGGAATCTTCAACAGAACCAAGAGACTAGGAGATAAGGAATGGGGTGGGGGAGGGGGAAAGAAGCTAGATCAACGGAACCATAACTGCTAGAATCTGTCTGATTAGGCCTAAGAATGCAAAGTCTTAGAGCTTTTCCATTTCTCTTATCAGTGCTCCTTAGCATGGATAATAGTGTGCCACATCTAGAGATGACTACTTCAATGTGGTTTATGACTATGAACAAGTTTATCTCCCTAGAGCTGCAGGGTTCTTAGGATGATTTTCCTCCTGTAATTAGGAGCCACTTACACTTGGTCTACAAAGCATTCCTGCATAAAAATGATCTCATTCCATCCACACAACATGAAAAGTATGTGAAGCAGCCATCATTATTCCCATTTTACCGGTGAGGAAATGGGGCCTCAAAATTGTTAGTGGGCTTGTCCAGGGTAACATGACTGGTAAGTGGTCAACCCAGCTGGGATCTTGGGTCTTCCAGCTCTAAGATGAATACAAGAGAAACTGGAAACTTCATGGAGCTTAGGGAATGTTTCTGAGGTCACACAGTGACTCAACCCCTGAAGCAGGATTAGAGTCAGAAATCCTCCCAGGTTTTCATGACTAGGAAGTTGGCCTCCTGAAGCTGTTTTAAACCTGTTCAGAACTGATGCCAAAAAGGTCTTCTTCAAAATGCATTTCCTGAGGGCTCTGCAGGCTGATTGGTCTCCAGCACACACTGGAATGATGTTCATGCACATGATTTCCAGAGTGCTTTTAAAAGGAGCCAGTACAAGAGATTTGTGCCTTTGAATTACTGCACTTGTAATGAAAAAGAATTACAATACATGCTTGAGATGCTCCTATGTTAGACAAGCGTGCAGTTTCCAGATTGCTAACATGGTGTCTAATGGGCCCTCCTGTTAATAATTCCATGAAAATTTTTGTGACAGATAAATTAACTTCTTTTGGGGTATGCGTGGTGGGAGAGAGTTGCAACCTGTCTCTGGAATTACAGATACTGAAGAACAGAATTAGAAGGTGTAGTCAGAACACTGTAACTCAGAGCTGCTAACTGGGCTCTCATCTGACAAGTACCTTATTGCTTTACAGGGGAGGGAGAAAAATAAAACAAGTAGCCCAGACAATTAGGGACCAAGCAAAATTAAACAAGTCCTTATGGCCATGGGTATCAAGTGTAGTGCTTTGGTGTGCATTGCTAGTGACTCATGTATTATGAAGCACTTAGGGATGCTCACTAATGGGGTCCCTCTGCCTCCTGGAGGGCGACTTGAACATTAGACTCTGTGACTGAGGTGCAGAAACTCTGCTGCGCCAGGGTGGGCAAAATGATTCTTTCCTCCCTCACACGGGTGTGAGGCTTAATTAATAGTTGGGGAAGCACTTTGAGATTCTGGGATGAAAGGCACTATAGAATGATATTAATTTGCATCAAGAAGGTACATTTCTTCAGTGGAATTCCAAACATTAATTAATCCTCATAACACCCTGGCAAGGCAGGTAAGTTTTCCCAGGACACACTAAACAAATCCACCATGTTATGAGTAGGAGGGAGGCTACTGCCATGAGCTCACTTTATTATTTATTCTTGGTGGTAACTTCCAGAAAGGCTGATGCAGACCCTGCTTTCCATTAGTCCAAATGATTTGCCATTCGCTTTTGATTACCCACAAATATCGTATTCTGCTGGAGCACTAATCATTCTGCTTGGGGGACACGTGTCCTGAGCAAAGCGAGTCATAAACAGCTGTCATTCCAATGGATATTAATGCCTATTGTCTCCCATTCTGGAGCTCTGTGCCTCCCATATGCAAAGAGAATGGCGGAGGAGTGGGTGACATCTGTTTCAAAGACAGTCTGCAACCATACTGGAGAGAATGCACCTGGCTTCAAACCCATAGAGCCAGTGGCTTCTTGGCCTTCCTTTGTCACCAGCACATTTTACATTTCACATTCTGATTTTTCATCTCCATGCAGTGTAGGGAAAGGGAATGGAGGGGTTAGGGGAGGGAGTGAGTTGTGAGTTGCATGTACACAGGGCAACCAGTGGTTCCAGAATCAGCATCCGATATAAATCAGCAGTGAAGAAGCAGCTAAAGTGTCAGGGCCCATACAGTTCCCCCAAACGCCAGCCATTCCACAGCTAAACTAAACTGAAAGGGGAAAAACAATCCTTTAGCTAGACAAATGACTTCAGCATGCTGACTGGTTGACGTGTCAGTCTTCAGCTGCTGTCTGATTGTGCCTCTGTTCCCATAGTGCAGGCTTTAGTTTTGCACACAGCCATTGCCTACAGCTTCTCAGACTGCAGAGGCAAAGACAATGAGCAAAGAAACCTGTCTGCTGTCATTCTGCACAGACACAGGCACCCCAAGACAGTTGTCTCTCAGCCAGACTACTGGGCTGCACAAAGTGTGTGGGGCCGAAGCACCGAGTGTTATCCAGGGTGAGGGGAGTGAGATCCCCTGAGAAGAGACGGGAGTGTTGTTTTGAGGCTACGATCAAAGGGAGGAGAAGCATCTCCTGGCCAGGTGTTTAATTTTGACCAAAGACAACCCCTGATACCGATCTGGCACACTCTTTGGGTGAGTCACCCCACCTCTCCAGCCTCGGTTTCCTCCTCTGTGAAATGAAGGAGTTAGAACAGACCATTTTCTAAGGTCTCTTTTAACTCTAATAGTCTAAGGTAGGCTGACTTGGTAAAAATCCCCCACTCTGTCTTCTCTGCAAAGCCTCCCAACCAATGTGCTTGACAGGGACATAGTATGCATGGACCCGTCTCCTCAGCCCTTGGGATGGTTGGAGCGCCTGAGAAGGTCACCTCCCCTCATTTATTTACTTTGGGCTGCTTTACAAATATTTTTATTTCCTCTGTGTTTCATGGTGTGAAAAAAATTGGGATGTGCTTCTTCCACAGAGGAATACTGGTCCACAGCTGAGTAAATGGAGGCAAGAAGTTGCCCATCACTTTACCTCTGGTGAGTAATAGATGTGGGTCTGTCTGATTCCAAAGGCGGAGCTCATAACTGCTATTCCTGGAGTTCCCAGTCCTGGCTGACCCTTAATTCCAGCAGAAGAGCTTTAAGGTGTTCTCCTGCCTGGCCCCGGAGGGGCTGCTCTCACCGGTCAGGGAGGGATCCAGGCTTTGACATCTACTCTAGTCTCCCCAGGTGATTCTGAGGTGCAGCAGCGCTGAGCCAGGCTGAGCCCGACAGTATTGCTCCACCTGCAGCAGATGTAACCGAGCGGTTGCCATCTGCCCCTGAGAGGGCAGTGCGTGGCTGTGAAGCACCCACCCGAGGTGGCTGGGGCAAACTTCTATTTTCACTCACATATAATGAGGACTGAAAATGTGTTTGAAAGTCAAATGTCCAAAAAAGCAAGCCGTAGACATCCATATTATAATGTCCAGAGGACCAAACAACTTAAAATCCTGAGTCAGGTTTTCAATAATTAGGTGGGTGCTGAGGAGATTTCCTGTTCCTGGACTTGGGGTGGAGGTTGCTCAGGGCTGCCTCCCTTTCCCCTCTGTTGGTTGGGGAAGTAGCAGAATGCAGTGGTCTGTCTATTTGTCATGCACTGGAACATGTCCTTACCTCACACAAGAAGGCCCCATAGCCCTTTAGTCTTCAAATCCCTGTCAGTGCCTGAATAGGGGACCAGAACCACATAGGAGAAGGTCAGGTAGGACCTCAGCCCCTGGCCCATCCCCAAGTGACAGCAAGGTTCTCTAACCTGCTGCCAGTGCCCAGGGCAGCAAGATCCTGGTCTGGGGGCTGGGGCTGTGATCCAGTGCTGTTCCCAGAGAGGAAGCCATCTCCAGCTCCTCAGTGGGATGGTGGCTCCTCTTCGAGAAAGCATGGGGGGCGGGCCAGAGCTGGGCCTCATGGGAGAAGGGTAGACAGCCCATTGCAGCTCTGCTTCAACAGCCGGCTTGACACCTGCTGCCGCCTTGCAGGAGGCTGGCTCTGCTTCCCAGCCCATCCAGTAGGAGCTCAGAATCCCCACAGGATAGATAGATTTGATCATCTCCATGTTAGAGGTGAAGTAACAGAGGCCCAAATGGTGAAGAGATGGGCACAAGTTATGTATAATAAGTGGAAGTGCTAAGGCTCCAATCAGGGCCTTTGGCTCCAACTCCAGTGCTCTCATTGCTGTAATTCAGCATGGTGCTTTGAAAAGAGCATGGGGTGGGGCTTCCTCCAATTCGGTATTTGTATGACCTTGGACAAAGCACTTAAAGTGATATTAGAGATTACATAAGTAATATATGTGGGAGTGTCTACCACAGCCCTAGCAATAACAGGTGCTCAAGAAATGTGCTAGGCATAGTGGGGTCAGGGTGGGCAGTGAAAACAAGAATAACACTGGGTCTTGGTCCTTAGGAAGTTCATTATTATGAGGGTTAAGATAGCACAGCAATTAGGTTTGTGGACTCTGGAGCCACACCACCTGGGTTTGAAGGCTGGCCTATCTTCTTCTTAGCTGTGTCACTGGGGAATGTTACTCAGCCTTTCAGTGCCTTGGTTTCCTCATCTGTAACATGGACGTAACAGCAGTATATGCTTCAAGAGGTTATTGGGAAGATTAAATCAATGCATGCCTGTACGTGCTTTGGACTGTGCCTGATACACAGCAGGCTCATGATAAATGTTAGTTGTCAATACTATTATATAAACATGGGAAAATGTCAATAAAAGATTTAGGCAACAGCCAACAAAAGCAATGGAAGAAATGGCACCAAGCAAAAATGAAAACTTTTCAAATAAGTTCTAAGGAACAAATTTCCTGCTATGTCTGGAAACACATGCAGGTACAGTTTGTGACCAGACATTAATGATCTCTTTCTTAGTTAATCATGAAACGGAGTCCAGAGGATGATTCCAAATACATCCTTAAGAAAACATACTGGTATTCTGATGTTTTTTTCTCTACTTGGCTATGGTTTGCTCCTGGCATGTTGCTGCAAGGTCAAGTCCTCTGAGCTTTCCAGGTTCCTTCTAGAGAAAGTGTTTGTATAGAGCATTGTATTATATTCCTGTTGCTACTCTAACAAATCAGCACCAAGTTAGTGGCTTAAACCAACACCAATTCATTGTCTTACAGTTCTGGGGGCCAGAAGTCTAAAATCAAGGTGCCAGCAGGATTGCGTTCCTTCTGGAGGCCCCCGGGGAGAATTGTATCCTTGCCCTTACCAGCCTCTAAAGCTGCCTATATTCCTTGGCTCCTGGTTCCTTCCTCCATCGAAAGCCAGCAATGTAGCATCTCGTCCTCTGTCTGACTGCCTGCCTCCCTCTTATAAAGATCCTTGTGATTACACTGGGCCCACCAGGATGATCCAGGATAATCCCCCCATCTCATGACCCTTAATTTAATCCCATCTACCATATAAGATAACTATTCACGGGTTCTGGAGATAAGGATGTAGACATCTTTAGGAGGTCATTATTGAGCCTATCATAAGTATCTGTAAGTCAGACACATCTTTCTCTTGCTTATATAGGCAGCCTTACCTAGAATAACTAGCATGAGCTGTTATACAAATTCTCCACCCTACCAAGCATAAGGAAGGGGAAAAAACGGCAGTGGTTAGGGGGACTGAGAACCTCTCCTATCACTTATCTATAGAACAGTTGCTACGGGAATTCTGGAGGGGTAGTAAGGGAAGGCTTTTGCTGGAACTAAGAATTTGTAAAGATCTTGAGAAAGGCACTGGTCCCAGATGTGTTGTATTTATTTACCAAACACTTTTGTAGAACTTGATGTATGCCAGGCACTATGCTAACACTTCATAAATAGTCATCCAATCCTTCTAATAATCCCATGAGGTACATTCTGTTATCATTATCCCCATTACACAGATGAGGAACTTGAGATACAGCCAAGGTTAAGGGACATGCCCATGGTCACACAGCTGGAAGTGGTGACCCCTCACCAGGTGGTGTGGTGTCAGATGATCTTGAACAACAAAAGCCCTGGTTCCAGTCATCCTTGGGAACTCTCCACTGTGGGGTTCATATGTCCTTGGATCCACAATTTTCAGTGTCCTATCAGGGTGGCTTTCTGTTTAGATGGTACAGCATGAATATCAGGAGAAGTAGTTTTCACCTAATGGAATGTTTTTGTCTTCCTCTGGAAAGAATGAGGGCCCCGGGAGAGAGAGGAGGCATTTTGAGAATTGAAGAGCTGGAACAGACCTTAATAATCATTCTGATCATCAAGGTTTCCTGAACTTCTAACCCTGGGGGCAAAGCAAAGTCGCTGAACTGGCCTGGAGGGTTCAAGTGCTTTGCCTGAATCTCCTACCTCAATCAAGAAAAAGTGTCTTTCAAAATCTCAAGTTCTAGCTTAAAAATTCATGAAGCATTTTACATTATAAACCTGTAATGCCTGTTTTGCAAAAAAAATAAATCTTTGAATAAAATTATCAGATCATTGTGCATGGTATCTTGTGACTTTGAGTGTCCTGTAGACCCACCTCTGAGCAGAACACCCAATTCCCACACCTATTTAAGAACATAGAGTCCAGCTCCATCCACTTAAAAGTCTAAGCTCCAAGCTTATCAAAGGATGGTTTCGACAGATCTTGAACACACTCCACTGAAAAGCAGAAAGGGTCCAACTGCCAGCTCATGAAATGCATGAGGCTTTTTGTCAATCTAAATCTTGGAGCTAAGAGCTGAGTTCTTACTCTTGCTTCTAGAATCACCTCATGTCAGATCACGCAAACTCGCAGGAGAGAAGAAACAATGGCAGCAGAAGAGGACATTGGGATCCTCCCATCACCTTGTACCTGGCTGGACTCCTGGGACAGGGATGCCTCCTTTAATGGAGAAGTAACAATGGTTGATGCCTTGGGCAAGAGAGCTATAGTGCTGAATCCCCTCGGGACTTGAGGGTTTTTTAGCTTGTATTAGAAGCAAATAGCAACTTTTGTATGGCAAGGGGGAACCATATCATGCAGTTCAATTTCAGTGAGTTTTCCCAAGCAGAAACTGTTAAGGCTAGATTTAGGGTAGGGGGTGGGGAGTAAGTGTGGGGCTTGGTGGAAATAAATACATCAAATAAGGCAAGAGTCTGTGTTCTAGGCTCTGGCTGGCTCATGAGACAGATGCTAAATTCCTCTTAGTGTCTGGTTACCTTCAAGTCTTGGTTTACTACCAGGCTGGGAAGCATGGTTCCAAATAGGTCAGAAATCAGTTGCTTAAGATTCTAGCAGGCCTTAGGTCATGTGCTTGTATGCGCATGCTCAGAGCTTCACAAGGGTTTTCAGTAGTGCTTGGTCCAGGCAGATGACAGGCTAAAAATGTGCTTTTGTCTAGCAATATTGCTCAACGAACTTGGGTACCTCTTTTTTAGGAAAATGAGATGGTGAGGAGGAAGAAGGGAGAAACCCTGTTTTGTATTTGATTCTGATGGGACTTAAGGACCACACTACAAATGTTCAAAGATCCATAAGCTATAAAAGTCCATCCCAACCTCAATTTAAAAATCAGATGAAAAACAAAAGGACCAGGTAGGTTTTACATGGCCCTCAATATCAAGATGGGAAAATAGCCCTTTGCCATTCTACTTACTGTTCAGAACCTCTTCTGAGATTTACTCTTAGAAATATGGTTCTAATCAAGAATGAAATCACAGGAAAAGGATAAGATGGAGAAATCCAGGAGCTGTGCCCAGGGTCTCTTGTTTTCAAGACTCAACCAACCGGTAGCTCCAAGACAGAGCATTTCTGCTTGTGCTGCTAACGGGACTTCTCAACAGAACAAAGGGTCAGTTCAGAGTTGTCAGAGAGCCTTCCTCTGAAGGCTTTTGTGGGTAAAATTGCAATATTTCCAGAATTTCTAACCTGGCCTTAGGGCATCTCCATATCAACTGGTGTTTCCAAGGGATGAAAAGAAGTAGTCTATCTCTATATCAATAGGTAATTATAAGGGGGACCGAGGGCATATCTAGACAGGAGAGGTTGGATGGGGTCCCTTTTGCAGCCAAGTCGCCAGAGCCACAGGTGAGCAGAAGTGGATGACTGCCTTTAAGCAATAAATGGGTTTCTCCCACTTTATTTCTTCCTTTGACTGATTTTGGTTTCAAAGGTAATTTGCCCCAGGCTGGAAAAATATTTTCCCCTCAGAGGTAACAGCTTTATTTCTCTAATAGACAAAATAATGGAAGAACCCAAAAAGTCACAGAACAGGGCAGACTGGGTACTGCTGAGGACCGACGACAGTTCCACATGTAGAGTGGAACTACTGAGGACAGTGGGTCTACTTTGCCTTCCTGCCCCTGCTTGCAGGAGAGCTGCCGCAGACTGGGAGCAGACTTGGTCAGGGTGCTTTGAAGTCTCTTGCCATCTGAGGTTTCGATGGAGGGATAATGAGGGGATGAAAGGCCCCTTTTGCTGGGGCAGTGAACAGCTAGTTTCAGATGAATGGGCACCAGCAACACAGGGTGGCCTGTGAGGCCTGCGCAAGAGGGGCAGGGAAGAACAGAGCAGGCCTTTGGGCTGTGTCTGCCCACAGCTCTAGCCCTGGAAACAATTAGTGAGGGCAAGGGAGCAAAAGGGAAGCAGGGACGGGAGGACAGTCTTCCAGACTGGGTGACTCACTTGGCTTCTGGGTTTGCTTCTCCTTTGGCATTTGAACAGACGGAAGACAGTAGAGGGTGTGAGCTTAGAAAACAAAGCAGATTCTGGCAAGATCTCCCTCTTTCCTAGAAGGGAGCCCTTTCATCCTCTTACAGTTATGGAGCAAGGGCTATAATCCCCTCATTTGGGGCCATTAAGCAATTTCTCAGATGCCTGGCCTTGGGGTCCCTTTAAGACCCTGTGTTCTGGCCCCAGTGCCCTGGACTCCTCCTTGTTTATTGTTAAAGAAATCTCCCTCTCTCTTTCCTTTGCCATTACCAGAGAGAGCAAAGGCCTTCAGGCTTGGTTTTCTATTATCCTTGAAATCTACCCCCTCCCAGGTCATTTATTTACTATAAAATAGGCTGCAAGCTGGCAGCCATCAGATGGGTGTGTGAAGTTAAATTCTGTGTCATTTAAGGAGCAGAAGATTTCACATTTCAAAGACAATCCTAATGCAGAAGCTTAGTCAGCACCTTGCCCCACAGTTGGCCAGAGCTGAGTGGGGCTGCCACCTATGGATGAGGCACGGGGCTCCTGTTCTCTCAGCACAACCTCTGCCCTGCCCCATCTTCTCCCAGGCCCTACACCTGCCCGCTGCTGCTCTTGACCGTCTCACACTCTGGTATGCATCACCTAACCACACTATACCCCAGGAGCATTTGAGTTGGTGATCTCAGATGAGGTTGGGGTGTATGGGGGCACCTCATCTCCCCCCTTTCCTGTTTCTATGGAAAGAGAGTTTCATTCAAGTAACACTCCTGGACTCCCTCCTTCCCCTCACTTGCTATGTTTGGAAGAGGGACCAGGCATGCCCATTCAGTCCCTCCATGTTCAGACTTGCCTGCCTACAGGAGGATCTCTAAAGGCCTGCTCTCATCCAGCAGTGAGGGCTCTCACTGTAGGCGACCACTGAGCTTGTCCTGTGCCCAGGGGGTCACATAGGCCTCACTCAGGGGTACAGTGTTAGCAAGCTGACTTGCAGTTTTAAGCTGCTCTTCAGTTGACTTTATCAGTGATCAAGCTGACACTTCCATCCGGTGCCCTGATACTTGCATCAGACAGGGTGATAGTCGTGGTTCAGATAGTGAAGGCTGCAGTTTGCACGCAGCTTATGCACTGATGCATGTCCAGCAGGAGACCAGTGAACTTCTTATCCCAAAGTACTGCCTGAGGTTCCCCAGGCCTCATGGATGAATGCACACCCATGGGTCACCAGATGTGATCACCCAGTTTCACTGGCTTGTGCTCCCTCACCTGTATGATGAGGACTTCAACCCTGCAAAATTCCTCTCCCCATAAGTCAAGGAGACCCAAGGAGCATCTCTCTTTCTCACCGATGGCCCACGTATGTACATCTTCTGCTCACTTGGTGATGCCCACTGCTTATGCAGCTTCTCAGCACCACCCCTGGGGCTAGAGGCCCCACTGGGAAAGCACTTTTATTTTCAGTGTAGAAGCATTAGAAACTTCCATCTCACTCTGGATCAGTCTTTGTTGAGTCCCAAAAATACCTCTGAGTATGCCCTCACATCCCATTGCTGACTGTATCCCCTCTCTCTCCATGGGCCCCCATGTGGTTGGCCAAGGGGCCCATTCCTGACATGGACACCTGGCTGTCCTCCCCATCCCAACCTCCCTCAAACCTCTCTCCACCAAAACTCCTTCTGAACCTCTACTCATGCAAACTGACTTCTCAGCGGCTAATCCAATAGTCCTGTCCAGACAAACTGCATGACAAAGGCCAACACTGATGGAGCCAGACACAGTTCTAACCACTGTATATGAGCCAAGCCGCTGTATCTCCCAACTGCACTGTAAGACGGGTGTTCCTGTTCTCATCTACATTGCATGGATGTGGAAAGGAGCTCAAAGGGCCTCAGGGATCTGCTCCAGGCCACATGCCTAGTCAGTTATAGAGCTGCTCTTCAGATATGGGTCCTGAGAATTCAAAGCCGACTCTCTTTGCCCTCTTTGGACTGAATCTGTGATGTGGGTCAGGGAGGAGGAAAATGAGAGGGAGTTTGAAGTGGGAGATGGGCAGAAGAGTAAATAAAAAGGCAGAAAAAAGAAAAAGGTCCCAATATTTGCATGAGAAAACTTTGCATCACACTCTATATAAAGAGCTTGAAGGGACCTCAGAATCCATTCTCATTTCACCACAGAGAAAGCTGAGGCCTGGAGTCGTGAGGAACTTGCCTTCTATGAGAATATGTGGATTTGAGAGGTTAAAAGAAGACGAACTAAAAACTAAAAAAGCTTCTAAAATGTAGAGGGTTGTGAATCTTTGTTTTGCTTTATAAATGGAAAACTAAGGCCTAGAAGAATTAAATGACTTGCCCAAGATTTAAAATATGAATATTCCAAAGAGGATAAAGTAAAAGGAATCAGAGAGAGAAACTAGCCTGAATGAACTTCTAAAATGGAGAAAACTCCATTTTTGTGTTATAAATTGAAAGAAAAATTACTTTCTACTAAATAAGAGCAGCATATTAAATGTGTTCTCTATACTGCTAATGGGGAATGGAGAAAATGGAAGGGTTGCCTGTTGTTACCTTTGAGTGTCATGTAAAATTGAGCAATTTTCTAGCTAAAATCTACTGAAATTTGAGGTCAGAGGCTCTCACATTTCATTAACCAAAAAACTCTTTTTGGATATCTCACTTGTGTTCAGAACTGTCCCGGGGGCCTCAGTATCAAGGAGAGACATAAATTCACGGCTGTTTGAGAGGTCTGATGAGAAGGGTGTGTGTGAGC